TATATTAAACATACTGATAATAACAACTGGACTGGTGCTTGTTAATTAAAAAAACTTGTATTTTAGAGCAGTGATTCCCAACCAGGGGTGCACGAACATATAACAGGGGGTATGTGGAAAAATTTCCCAGGTGTGTAAATAAATAAAATAAAATTAGGACTGAGATACGTAGGGCCGTATGATTTTCATAATGCACAAAATACAAATGGAATCACGAAATCGACACAAAATGAAATCATGTATAAAACGCAGAATCTCACGGAATCTGCTGTATTTTGGACACTGCTGCTTCCTGCATTTACCGTTCATTCACCTGCCGTTATCTGGTTTATTTATTTAATTACTTATTCACTTTCAAGGCAACATTTTTATCTTTGTTCAATTTGAGTTGAAAAGAGTAAAAAGCCTGAGATTTAAACGTTCTAAGGAGTTAAATAAATAATTTTCATTTAATATTCAGTTGTACATTATAGTTTTGGAGAATCATCATTACGTTTGACAGGGGGGGTAGTGGTATGAGAAAATGGCTCAGGGGGTACACAAGTCTAAAAAGTTTGGGAACCACTATTTTAGAGGAAAAGCTTCCTAATCCTCTCATAAATAGATGAATAAAGGATAAAACTAACATTCCTTGAAGGAATTAAAATCACTCTTTTCAAAGATTTACACAAAAATGGAGCAAATCTCATCTACTACCACCGCACCAAAGCTGATTTAATGATTTAAAATCAAAAACAATTAGTAAAAATGACTSAGTAAAACCTTCTAATTAACTCCTTTATCAAACTAAAAAGCAGGTGAGTGTCCCACATGAGAGGCTAAAAGCACGATTAACAGATTATCAAAAGGTTTTTTTTCATCATTAACTAATTAAGTTTCAAGTTTAAGGTGATTCAATTAGTTTAATTGACTAATAATTCATGTCAGCAGCAGACAGGTTGAAGTATCACCTGTCGTTCAGCACAGATGGTTCAGTTTCAGGGGTTTTAATAAAAACCTCTGACAGACACCTGATTAAGATCAACAAAATCCCGCAGCTTAAACTCCACCCACACGGAGCGGCTCGGTCAGGGAGCGCATTAACACGGGCTGAACCAGAATCACATGAGGGTCCAGATCCTGCAGCCGAGCCTCCTTTCATCTGAATTCACCACGAATGAATCAACCAGTTCAAGTTCTCCTTTCAACGTGGAGCCACACGTCACCGCGTGTCTTCAGGGATTTGTTTGAGCTGTTTTCATGCATCTGAACAAAATTAACATAAAACGATTTGCTGAATGAGACTTTTCTTCTTTAAACGAGTCACTTAAATTCTTTAATTAAAACCATTTGGGTTTCTTCTTGACTAATAAAACGTGTCTCATCTGTTTATACTGCTGTATAAGCTGCTCGTGTTTAACAGCCATAAAAGGACAGGGGGTGCAGTAGTAAAGAAGGTTAAAAAATTAAGATGAGTTTTCCATCAACAAGCAACTGAAAGGAGACTGAGTGTCATTATGCTGATGATACTCAGTTATATTTATTAAACCTGATGAATCAGTTACTTAAACTACAAGCATGTCCTACAGACATAAAAACATGGATGACTCTTAACTTTCTGCTTCTAAACTCAGATAAGACAGAGGTTATGGTTCTTGGACCTGAACATCTTAGGGACCAACTTTGTAGCCTTTCACCTCCTCTGATGGCATTAATCTGGCCTCCAGTTCTAATGTAAAGAACCTTGGTGTTATTTTTGATCAAGACATGTCTTTTAACCCCCACATTAAAAA